TAGTAGGTGCAAAAGTCGGCTCCTATCTGAAGGTAATTTGCGGGGCCGTCCACGCTCACCGCACCATGCGGAGAGTCACTCTACAACGGTAGTGAGCTAGACTACGGGGTTGGCACGAACTACTAAAAGTGATCGTAGCTTTGCTTAGTTCCTTAGTGCTTGCATATCTACGAGAGAAATTGGCAAGAGTTTCCACTAGCAAAGTTGAGAATACAGGATAATAGAACAAGCAATGACAGGAATGACTAGATCCTAGCAACTCTGCAACTAGCCTGGTCGACCGCCAGCACTGCATGGTCGACCGCCTGCCAGCGTTGCGTAGAGGAGCCGCGCCAGCACTGCAGAAGAGCGACCTGCCAACACTGCAGGTCGACGGCGTGCCAACGCTGCAACAGAACGGTTGTCCAGCGTTGTCTCGCAGAAGACAGCAGTACGCACGCTCGCAGGTGCGTGCATACGATTGGCCCGACTTGCATTGTTGTGCATCCGTCAGCTGTTGTCTGCGCCTGACGTCCACATCGACTTCGGGATACCAGCTCGAAGTTGCCTTCGTAATCGCGACCTCGACGACTTCGCATGCCTCCACAGAACTCGCCGAGCAGGTTACCTAGTCAACCTGGATACCACCAGCCACTCGGGTCAACCACCCATAGCTCTAGTCGACCACCAAGTGCCTCCGGTCGACCACCAGGAGGTCTGTTCGACCACCAGGTGCCTCCGGTCAACCACCAGGAGCTCTGGTCGACCACCAGGTCCTTCCGGTTGACCACCAGGTCCCTCGGTCGACCACCAGGTCCCCTGGTCGACCACCAGGTGCCTCTGGTCGACCACCAAGGGCCCCTGGTCAACCACAGCTCTTGTCGAGTTGCCCCACCCCTTCTGACGACCAGAACTCTCAGCTGATGTCGCCGAGCTGCCCTCGTCGACCGTTGCTCACATGTCAGGTCGACGGACTGCTCCGTCGACCTCCCCATTGAACCGGCACTCCTGGTCGATGGCCTACCCGTCGCCTAGCCCAGTCAGTTGTGCCCGTCGAGCACCCCTGGTCCACGGAAACCCCACAGTGACACCCTGCAGCTCGACGAAGCCTGTCGAGCAGCTCGTTCACCTTCACTGTGAACGGTCAGCTGCTTCTCCCAAACACCCGACCAAGTCGTCGGCGTTGCCCAAGCGAGGGCGGGGCCAACATTCCACTCCCGTTAACACCGACGAGGGGAATGAGGGAAATAAGATTGGCCAAAAGAGGAAATTTCCTAGTAAGTTGAAAATATAAATAGGAGCTAGAACAAGGCAATTTGTATACCACCATTAAATATTTCATATAAATCTAGTAACTATTGAACAAGAATCTATAATAAAAATTTTGTCTTAACGGTTTTCAAGTTTAGTCAACGCAAACAATATTGTGTTGCTTGGCATCCGTCCCGTTGATAGTTCAGGTTTGTTGCTAGCCAATCATGGATCACCAGTGCAGCATGAACGAGATGGTTTGTTGTGAACCACATAGTAACGTGGTTTTTGGCGAAGTCAACTTGAAAAAGTTTTTAAGTCCCCTCTCCTAACTCCCAACCTAAGGTTGTAGGGGGGCTGTGCATGTAGGGTGATTGAAAGAAAAAATCTATTTCCTTACGCTGCATCCTTGCTTAGCGTGTACATCACTGTACTCGCCACACTTGCCACCGTTACCACTTGCGACATTCGCCTCGACTATTTCCCGCCACCTCGCCCGTCGCAACCCAACCTCACGACTCTGCTGGTAACCCGCGCTCCAGGCCTCCGCTTTGACACTTTCCAACCTCAGTCCCAACCTTAATCATAGGCCTGTTGCGCATCACCCACTGTTCGTTACCGTTACCACTGTGGCCTTCGCTATTTAGGTCTCGCTCATTCCTTCGCTCATGGTACTAATTTGCTTCGATAGTGCAATTCTTGCTAGCTCGCTCAATTGCACTCTTAACACTTGGTATTTAGAGCCTACGATCTTCTCTCGGACTGCACCCACACCTTCGCTTCCCCACTATTTCAAATTTTGGGGGGGGGGGGGGGGGTGGAGGGGGTAGACACCTCTAAGCAAACAAGCATCGCCGCTCGAAGCACGCATGCCCATGACAGAGGCTCTCGCTGAGCTTGCCCGACACCCCCGCCATGGCTGAAATCACGCTCGCTACTTTGACACAGAAGCAGCTCGACCGTCCCGTGAGCCAACTTGACAACTCCGCTCTTGAAGTTGCGACGCTCACGGTGGAAGTCGACGCCGCCCGCCGACAATCTGCAGCAAATGCACCTACACCAACAGTGACACTTGAAAATGCACCCGCACAAACGGACGAGCCGATCGTCATTTCGTCCGGAACACAGTCGCAGCACGACAGTGTGGGACATCGCTCAGGCGTAGCCAGTAATGGCGCAGCCCAGTCAATTCCTGGCATGGCGAGGACCAGTGCTATTCCGACCGTGAATCTGCCGCGCGAAACGCGTCGTCACGTCAAATTTGCGGCAACAATGGGCACCAACGACATGCAAAAGCCGATGCCGCTCAAGCCGCAACGACCGTTTAACGCGGACCTAAGCCAACGTGGGGGTCCGACCGTTCAATCGTGGATTTTCACGATGAACGTGTTTTTGTACTCCAATTACGTCATCGCGGATGCATCGAAGATCAAATGAGCGGCTTCGCAGCTACGGGGCCCCGTCATGGAGTGGTGGCGAGTGATCGTTACCTCGCAGCAGCACGCCTACAAGACACCGTCGCGTGAGGGAGAGCCCCCGGGCCCGGTCGTAACCTGGAGTTCGTTCTGTGAAACAGCCCTGTACAGCACATGGGATGCGTGGAGTGCAGGGCTTCAGGCGCGCTTCGAGCCGATTGCGGCTTCTATTTCGGCACGTCAGAAACCACACACTTGGCGGCAGCTCGGGTCAGTTTAAGACTACACCAGGGGCTTTCTCGCTCTGTGCGAACAGGTCGGCTACATGCACGAGGCGGAGCGGGTGGACCGTTGCGTCAAGGGCTGAACCGGACAATTCGCGGTAGATTCTACATCGCGGGCTATTGAACTTCAACGAAATCCTAATGCTTGCCGAGAAAATCGATTTTGCGACGAGCGAGGCCGGGGTCCTACTATGGACATCGCCCTCGGGGGCCAATCGAGCACGCCACCGTACACGCCGTTGCAACTAACGCAGCTGCCATGCCGTTCAAGGGGCGATGCTTTGCTTGCAATAGGCTGGGACATCGCAAGAGCTAATGCCTAGAGGAGCTAAGGCGCCGAGGAGCAGAGCAGGGAAGGGAATGTTAAAGGCTGGGAAACGCAAGCAGTCAGTAGCAAACGGGCCAACTACTGACGAGATTTCCTGCTCGCCCAACCTCACCGACCCTCACCGAGTCACAGTACCGATTCACGCCATCGATCGGGCTCGGATGAATAAGGAGGGTACAGCGACGGATTGCCCAATACCGATTCACGGGAAAGTACAGGGAGAAGCAGTGAAGATATTCATAGACGGGGAGGCAAGTCACTGCTTAGTTAATACCACGACTGTTCGAAAGCTGCAACTGACACTTAGTCGGTGTTTACCGGAGATAGATGCACGATTAGTTGACAGCATGCCTCTGGCTATACGGGAGAAAGTGGAGGGAGTAAAAGTCTGGTGCGGGGGGAACTTCGGGTTTACACAGGAAATGCTCGCGACGACACTGGATGGGCACGACATTTTACTGGGACGTGATTGGCTGCGATGATACAACCTCGAATTGACTGGACTACGAGTAGTTGCATTGTGCGAAGTAGCGGTAACTGGGTCGAATTACCTCGCTGGCAGTCGCCGGAGATTTCAACGGTCCACGTCAACGCCATCACGATGAAACGGGCTGTCGCCGCTGGAGCTGACGTGTACACAGTGAGTATAGTAGAGGGAGAAGCCGAGGCGCTGAGTGATTTTCATAAACTTCTAGCAGCTGTATCGCCCGAACCACAAGAATTGTTGAAACGATACCCGGGGATTTTCCTGGACGACTTACCAAAGAGACTGCCACCTCAGCAAGCACACAATCACCACATAGAGTTAGAAGCAGGGGCACAGGCAACTGTACAGCGATAGTTCAGACTGACACAGCGCAGGGTCCCTGCTTCCCCCCTCCCTTCTCCCTGCTTCCCCCCTCCCTCCTCCCTGCTTCCCCCCTCCCTCCGCTCTGCTTCCCCCCTCCTTCCTCCCTGCTTTCCCCCTCCCTTCGCTGTGCTTCCCCCTCCTTCCTCCCTGCTTCCCCCCTCCCTATGCCCTGCTTCCCCCCTCCCTCCTCCTTGCTTCCCCCCTCCCTTCTCCCTGCTTCCCCCCTCCCTTCTCCCTGCTTCCCCAATATTGGAACATTGTAATATCGTGACAAACGAGCATCGTGACTAGCGAGCATCGTGACCAGCGAGCATCGTGACTAGCGAGCATCGTGACTACCGAGCATCGTGACTAGCGAGCATCGTGACTAGCGAGCATCGTGACTAGCGAGCATCGTGACCAGCGAGCATCGTCACTAGTGAGCATCGTGACCAGCGAGCATCGTGACTAGCGAGCATCGTGACTAGCGAGCATCGTGACCAGCGAGCATCGTGACTAGCGAGCATCGTGACCAGCGAGCATCGTGATTAGCGAGCATCGTGACTAGCGAGCATCGTGACTAGCGAGCATCGTGACTAGCGAGCATCGTGACTAGCGAGCATCGTGACCAGCGAGCATCGTGATTAGCGAGCATCGTGATAAGCGAGCATCGTAACCAGCGAGCATCGTAACTACCGAGCATCATGACTAGCGAGCATCGTGCTTCCCCCCTCCCTCCTCCCTGCTTCCCCCCCTCCCTCCTCCCTGCTTCCCCCCTCCCTCCTCCCTGCTTCCCCCCTCCCTCCGCCCTGCTTCCCCCTCCCTCCTCCCTGCTTCCCCCCTCCTCTCCTCCCTGCTTCCCCCCTCCCTCCTCCCTGCTTCCCCCCTCCCTCCGCCCTGCTTCCCCCCTCCCTATGCCCTGCTTCCCCCCTCCATCCGCCCTGCTTCCCCCCTCCCCATGCCCTGCTTCCCCCATCCCTGCTCTCTGCTTCCCCCCTCCCTTCTCCCTGCTTCCCCCCTCCCTCCTCCCTGCTTCCCCCCTCCCTCCCTCTGCTCTGCCCCCCTCCTTCCTCCTTGCTTTCCCCCCTCCCTCCGCTCTGCTTCCCCCTCCTTCCTCCCTGCATTCCCCCTCCCTATGCCCTGCTTCCCCCCTCCCTCCTCCCTGCTTCCCCCCTCCCTTCTCCTTGCTTCCCCCCTCCCTTCTCCCTGCTTCCCCCCTCCCTCCGCCCTGCTTTCCCCCCTCCCTCCTCCCTGCTTCCCCCCTCCCTATGTCCTACTTCCCTCCATCCCCTTCCCTACTCCACCCCATCCCCTTCCCTGCTTCCCCCCATCCCCTTCCCTATTGCGCCCTCCATCCCCTTCCCTGGTTCCCCCCATCCCCTTCCCTGTTTCCCCCCATCCCCTTCCCTGCTTCCCCCCATCCCCTTCCCTGCTTCCCCCCATCCCCTTCCCTGCTTTCCCCCACCCCCTTCCCTGCTTCCCCTTATCCCCTTCCATGCTTTCCCCCATCCCCTTCCCTGCTTACCCCCATCCCCTTTCCTGCTTCCCTCCATCCCCTTCCCTGCTTCCCCCCATCCCCTTCCCTGCTTCCCCCCATCCCCTTCCCTGCTTCCCCCCATCCCCTTCCCTGCTTCCCCCCCACCTCTTTCCTGCTTCCCCCCATCCCCTTCCCTGCTTCCCCCCATCCCCTTCCCTGCTTCCCCCCATCCCCTTCCCTTCTTTCCCCCATCCCCTTCCCTGATTCCCCCCATCCCCTTCCCTACTTCCCCTCATCCCCTTCCCTATTCCCCTTCATCCCCTTCCCTGCTTCCCCCCATCCCCTTTTCTGCTTCCTCCCATCCCCTTCCCTGCTTCCCCCCATCCCCTTCCCTGCTTCCCCCCATCCCCTTCCCTGCTTCCCCCCATCCCCTTCCCTGCTTCCCCCCATCCCCTTCCCTGCTTCCCCCCATCCCCTTCCCTGCTTCCCCCCATCCCCTTCCCTTCTTTCCCACATCCCCTTCCCTGCTTCCCCCCATCCCCTTCCCTGCTTCCCCTCAACCCCTTCCCTACTCCCCCTCATCCCCGTCCCTGCTTCCCCCCATCCCCTTCCCTGCTTCCCCCCATCCCCTTCCCTGCTTCCCCCCATCCCCTTCCCTGCTTCCCCCCATCCCCTTCCCTGCTTCCCCCCATCCCCTTTCCTACTTCCACCCATCCCCTTCCCTTCTTTTCGCCATCCCCTTCCCTGCTTCCCCCCATCCCCTTCCCTGCTTCCCCCCATCCCCTTCCCTACTCCCCCTCATCCCCTTCCCTGCTTCCCCCCATCCCCTTCCCTGCTTCCCCCCATCCCCTTCCCTGCGCTGCCCCAATTTCCTTCCCTACTTCCCCCCATCCCTTTCCCTACTGCCCTCCATCCCCTTCCCTGCTTTCCCTCCATCCCCTCCACTATCTCCCCTCATCCCCTTCCCTGCTTCCCCCCATCCCCTTCCCTGCTTCCCCCCATCCCCTTCCCTGATTTCCCCCATCCCCTTCCCTGCTTCCCCCCATCCCCTTCCCTGCTTCCCCCCATCCCCTTCCCTTCTTTCCCCCATCCCCTTCCCTGCTTCCCCCCATCCCCTTCCCTACTCCCCCTCATCCCCTTCCCTAACCCCCCTCATCCCCTTCCCTACTCCCCCCATCCACTTCCCTGCTTCCCCCCATCCCCTTCCCTGCTTCCCCCCATCCCCTTCCCTGCGCTGCCCCAATTTCCTTCCCTACTTCCCCCAATCCCCTTCCCTACTTCCCTCCATCCCCTTCCCTGCTTCCCCCCATCCCCTTCCATGATCCCCCCCATCCCCTTCCCACTTCCCTCCATCCCCTAACCTGCTTTCCCCCATCCCCTTCCCACTTCCCCTCGTCTCCTTCCCTGCTTCCCCCCATCCCTTGCCCTGCTTCCCCCCATCCCCTGCCCTGCTTCCCCCCATCCCCTACCCTGCTTCCCCCCATACCCTGCCCTGCTTCCCCCCAACCCTTGCCCTGCTTTCCCTATCCCCTGCCCTGCTTCCCCCCCTCCATACCCTCAGATGATATCTCCCAGCACGGCAGGTGATTCCAAGATTTGAGATGATGGGATCGATGGATAAGAGCCACATAGCGTGCGGGGCTGAGATGAGTGGGAGGGATATGATAGCTGAAGGGCCAGCCAGATCCCAAGAGCAAGCAATAGCTGCTGCATTCGAGGTGTTGCTATATTTTTCCCCCAATCTCGTCCCATACTCGTGCCTCCTCAATTCCCCTTCTGCTCCCTCCCCATATGCCCTCCTTACTCTCCCTCTGCATATGTCTATCTTCTCCCTGCCCATGTTATTGTGTGATGCAATCATATGCATTCACGTCTGTCTGCCTCCCATCAAATTAGTGACTTCCGCTAAGGGGAAACTCTGTCGAAATTTCGTTGGCGCCATCACTTGTGAAGATTTCGTGGATCTACATTGTGACCAGCAAAGGGGGGAGCTGAAACCTCTGATTGGGAGCAGAGGAGATGAGTCAAGGGAGTGGAGAAGCAGCTGAGAAAAGGAGTGAGCCGCCACCATCCAAGATTGAGGCGTTGGATGGCTCCAATTATGAGAAATGGAGCGGGCGGATGCGGAGCGCCTTCAAGCGCTACAAGCTGCTGAAACTTGCGATGGGAGAAGAGAAGATGCCGGAGGAAGGTGATGCCCGCGATCGATGGATTGAGCAGAGCTCGGTGCTGTACAACCTTATCCTCCAATCAGTCAACAACGACATGTTCCAGCACATCAAGGACTTGGTGGGGCTCGATGACTCGGGACCGAAGGTGTGGAAGCTGCTACGCGACGTGGTTCAGCCCAACACGCTGCCGATGGTGATCGTATTGGAGAAGGAGCTGGCTGCCCTCTCCATGCGGCCGGGAGACGATGTGAAGCCGGTGCTTGACAAGATCAAGGACACCTATGCGAGGATGGCAGCAGCGGGCAGCAAGGTTTCGGAGATGCAGCAGTGCACCAAGATCATCTCGGTGCTTGAAAATTTGTGGGACAACCTCATCCCCACCATCAACGTTCAGCAGGACAAAGTGGACGCCTGAGGGGCTACGGCAGCAGATCCTGCAGGAGGACTTCCGCAGGCGCCACACGGGAGGTGGTGCTGCCAACAAAACTGCTGAGGGGTATGGAGCTGCAGGAGGCAGCAGAGGAAGAGGGGGAGGGAGAGGCCGAGGCCGCGGGAGAGGCTTTGGCAGAGGGAGAGGCCGAGGTGACTACAACGAGGGGCATGGAAGCTCTGGTGGCAGGGGGAGCACCCGAATGGAGGGTGCGTGCTGGTACTGCAAGAAGGCTAGACACCCGTGGTTCAAGTGTTTCAGCCGGCCTGAAGGATGGGCGCCTCCAGGCATGAAGCCGCCAAGTGGTGAACGTGCACGAGGTGGCGCTGTGCAAGGTTCAGGTGCACAAGGTGATGGTGCACAAGGTAAAGCCGACCCTGGGATGTTCCTCATGGTTGAGGATGTGAAAGAGAGTGAGGATGATGTGGGTTCAGTTGGGAAGGTTGTGATGCACCCCCTCACTCACTGGGTGATCGATTCTGGTTGCACGAGTCACATGACTCCGCGGGCAGATTTGCTTGATGAGGTGAAACCCCCTGGGAAGATCAAGTTTGTGGCTGCCGCTTCAGGTGCTTTGCTCCTCGTGATTGGTGTTGGAAATGCCAAGGTGATGGGAGCCAATGGGGGACTTGTGGAGCTTGCGAATGTCCTACTTGTTGAAGGCTTGTCCGCTAACCTCCTCTCTGTGCGCCGGCTGCAGAAGAGCAAGGCCAAAGTTACATTCGGCCCAACCAGCTGCCGTGCGAAGCTTGGGAAGTTGCTGCTGTGGGATTTGGAGGAGAAGAGCAGCTGCATCAAGGACCTGTGGCAGCTGCCCATCATCCCTTGGAATGGGAAACCACCAGCAACGGCAAAGGCAGCTGCAGCAGCTAGGGCAACTGCGGGAGGAGAGGAGACTGCACCAACTGCTGGGGCCCTGGATGCAGTCAAGATGATGCAGCAGCCACAGCAACCATATGGTGAGGTGCTTGCTGGTGTGGATGCAACAGCTGCATGGGCAAAGGCTTCATCTGGGAGTGGTGAGGCCAATTGGGAGACGTGGCACGAGAGGTTGTGCCACATCAACATTCCGATGCTGCAGAAGTTGGTGAAGGATGGGAGCTTGGAGGTGAAGGGGGCAGGGAAGGAGATTGGGAGCTGCCCTACGTGCCTTGAGACGAAATTCACCAAGTTCCCTTTCAGCAGCAGCACGGGACCAGCCAAGACACCTCTTGCTCTGGTGCACATGGATGTGGTGGGGCCTACGAGGGCCCTTTCTCTCTCGGGCAGCCGCTATTTCTTGACCATTGTGGACGACCACACTCGTGTGGTGTGGGTATACCCTCTCAAGACCAATGGGGAGGTGGAAGTGGCTGTTTTGAAGGAGTGGATGCCGAGAGCACAAAGGGAGAGCGGACACAAGGTGAAGGTGATCCGCACCGACAACGGGGGAGAGTTTATTGGCTCTGATTTTGAGGCGGTGCTGAAGAAGAAGGGGATCCAGCATCAGCTCACAGTGCCCTACAACCCTCAGCAGAATGGCGTGGCTGAGCGGTTCAACCGGACCCTGCAAGAAGGTGCTCGCACTCTCCTTGGGCGTGCAGGGCTGCCGGATCCGTTTTGGGTGACTGCACTGCGGCAGGTCGTTGTTGTGAAGAACAGGGTGCTGGCGACTGTGGGGGACAAGCAGTGGGTCCCCTACACCAAGTGGTATGGGAGTGCACCTGCAGTCAACATGCTGAGAGCCTACGGGTGCATGGTGGTGTTTCATGTGCCGAAGGAGAAGAGGGGAAAGCTGGAAGCTTCTGGGAGATGGGGTGTGCACTTGGGACTTGCCAAGGATCACAAGGGCTGCTTGATGTGGGATTTGACCAGCCAGCAGCTAACTGTGTCGAGGGATGTAAAGTTCCTCGAGTCCTTGTACTACAAGGAGTGGAAGCAGCAGCAGCAGAAGCTTCCTGCTACACCGCTGATCGTTGAGGCCGATGAGGTGCAACGGCCTTCGAGGCAGGTGGAGGTTTCTGTCTCCAACGAGGAGATCTCTGGAGTGACTGAGGATGGGGGAGAACCTGAGGTGGAGGAGCAACAGCAGCAGCAGCAGCAGCAAAGTGCTCCACAAGGTGCCGCACGTACGGCTGACCGTCCTAGGAGGGATGTGCGCCCTCCTAACCGGCTGACCTATCCGAGCTTTGGCAAGCCAAAGGTGGTACGGGCTGGGAGTGTGGCTGAGCAGTGTGATGAGGAGGAGATAGCGCACTGCTACTGGGCAGCCGTCCCTGAGCCCAAGACGCTTACCGAGGCCTTGAGTGGGCCCGATGCTGAAAAGTGGAAGCAGAGTGTGAAGGAGGAGTATGATTCTCTGCTGGAGAACGAGACGTGAGAGCTGTGTGAGCTGCCACCTGGGAAGAAGGCCATTTCTTCCAAGCTGATCTTCAGGCACAAGTACGGACCTGATGGGGAGCTGACCCGCTACAAGTCAAGGCTTGTGGCTAAGGGGTTCCAGCAGACGAAGGGGAAGGATTTTGACGACATCTTTGCTCCTGTGGGGAAAGGGACTACACTGAGGACGATGTTGGCAATGGCTGCAAACCGCGGATGGAAGATCAAGCAGATGGACATCATCACTGCCTTCCTCAATGGGATCATTCTGGAGGAGGTGTATATGCTGCAGCCTGAGGGGTTGGATGATGGGAGCGGCAGGGTGTGCAGGCTGAAGAAGGCCATCTATGGCCTGAAGCAGGCTCCTCGCGCATGGTACCACAAGCTGGAGGAGACACTGCTTGCAGGGGGTTTCAAGCAGAGTGAGTGCGACCACAGCCTGTTCCTGCTGCAGGAGAAGGAGCAGTTTCTCCTGCTCCTGGTGTATGTGGACGACATCCTGCTTTTCTCCGAGTCGTCTGCAATGATTGAACGTGTGGAGGAGATGCTGGAGATGCAGTTCAAGTGTTCCAAGATGGGAGATGTGAAGTACTACCTTGGGATGCATGTGGAGAGGGACCTCGACAAGGGAGTATCGAGGTTGCACCAGAGGAAATACTGTGAGGAGCTGGCCGAGAAGTATGGGCTGCAAGATGGAGGGAAGCCAGCCACCCCACTACCTGGGGTTCACAACGGAGCCCTGTGCTGATGAGGAGTTGGTGGGAGAGAGTGACAGGAAGCTGTTTCATTCCATGGTTGGGGCACTCAACTATGCGGCTAACCACACGCGGCCTGACATTGCCTTTGCTACATCCAGGCTTGCGAGTGTGGTTTCACGTCCCAGTCATGAGCAGCTGGAAGCGGCTATGTGAGTGCAACGGCATTAGTGGGCTTGGAGTACAGTGCTTTGCGACAGAGGCGGCAGAGGGGTGCAGCTGACTTGAGCAAGGGGGAGATGCGCTTGACTTGCTACACCGACGCCAGCTTCAACTCTGTGAAGGCGGATGGCACCAGCATTGGAGGCTTGGTGTGCCTCTTTGGAGGTGGTGCAGTGAGCTGGCGCAGCAAGAAGCAGAACGAGGTGGGGCTGTCCTCATGTGAGACCGAGTACATGGCCCTTCATCATGGGGCAAAGGAGGTGGTGTGGCTGAGGCGTTTGTTGGAGGAGATCGGAGTGTGCCAGAAGGAGCCGACTGTGATTTTCTGTGACAATGAGTCAACAGTGAAGCTGGTCAATAATGCTTGTCTTCATGGCCTGACAAAGCACATCAGGCCCAAGTGGCATTGGACTCGGCTCCTGGATAAGGAGGTGCGACTGGAGCTTGTGAAGACCCAGCAGCAGGCAGCTGACATTCTCACCAA